AGAGTGATAAATGTTGCTGGAGATAAATATGATGGGCAAAGTGATACAGGGCTGTGAAACCATACAGAGGGCCACATAGGATGGATTTTTGGAGACAAAGATGACCTCGAAGAAGAAGAAGAGATAGGCCCAAGTTGACATCAGTAAGATCAGCGAGTTCCAGTAGAGAGTTGGGGAATTCAGAGGCAATTGTTGTGTGAAGAGTTGTACGTGCGAAAGAAACTTTTGATCCTCCTTCCCGGGTTTATCTTTATCATTCTTAGCAATGCTCACTTTCTAAATACATCAAAGAATATTGGTCCCTGGGTGGTGCACATGGCTTGTGCTCAACCATTAATCCTAAAGCTGGCAGCCTGAACCCACCCCATGGCACAGTGGAAGCAAGGTCTTGCGATCTGCATCTGAGAGGATGCAGCTAAGGAAGCCCGAAGGAAGTCAGGTCCACTTTGGGAATGGACTTGATTGCGGCAATGGGGCTCTTATCATGGGTTACTCTATTACATATGCTCTGTTCCCCTCTATAGAATGCAGGGATTTTGATTTTCTCTGTTCATCTTCTAGATATTAAGATGATATGAACACACATTCACCTACACCTGGTAGATAGGGAGTGCATGGTAACTATTTGTGGAATGAATACAGGAATGGGTGATGGGTTTGGTAAAGTGCAAGTCGTTCAGACTGGATGGTGTACGAGGGTTACGAGAGTAACGGTGGAACCTGGGGCTGAGAGGTACATTGGGGTCAGATCTTCATGGAGCTTGTACATTGTATTAGGACATTCGATTTTAATCCTGAGGGCAATAAGCCCTTAAGCAGCAACCCACATGGTCAGATATCGTGATTAAAAAAAACCCCTCATTTGGGGTACACCACAGAGAAAGGATGAAGCTAGGCAAGACAGTGTAGACAAGAGGGAGGAAGATGTCGCTGTCCTGAACCACGGAAGAGGGGTGGGGAAGGGGCAGCTGGTGAGCAGGCTGAGCGCTTGATAACCAGTGGTCACGATGCGCTGTCCTGCCTACAGGGATTTGGTCGTGCCCCTACAGACGCGTGTGACTTTCTCAGTGGCTCAACAGTCCTTATGAGCAAAGAGGAGGCTCTAAAAAGAAGAGGATCCGCCATGCTCATGGAGATCCGAACAGAGGGTGAGATGGTACTCCTTTCGTATCCACTGAAATTCATGGGCTCTTTTGGAAGGCTGCATCAGTATCACATCTGCCTACTTTTATGAAGCCTCTCTTGTGCTACGCAATTTGACATGATACCAGCCAAGGTGTTCTAGGGTCTCAAACTACCTACTGTTTTAAGAATCATCTTCATCTTAAAGTTGAAAGAGTTCACTCTTGTAGCAACAAAACCTAATGGAATTTTATGAAGCGAACCTTTATTGCCCCTTTGGTCTGAATTATCAAGTACTATGCACCCTAAGAACAAAACAGCCCTTTTGCTCCTGAATAACAACACGTCTGGCACTGACTAAACCATGAACACGGGGTTTTCAAATTAAACCAAGATTCTATTTGTCAAAGACAATCTGACAGAGCAGAGTTGCTATAGACAAGGAAGCTTTAAATTGTTTTAATCTCCACTCCCTCCATGTCCCGGCCCCCATTTCTTGGACACTTGCTTTGATGAAACTACTTGGAATGATGTTGATAAACTGAGTCTAGTATACAATAGGAACCAGAGTTAATGACACCTTTTCAACACAGAGGAAATCAGAAGAAAAACACCACCAGGAACAGAGCCTTTGTTTTCTTTTTCAATTGCTCATGAAACAGAGAAGCAAAAGTGTTTGGAGATAATGAAGTCTGCTGGGTTCCCGCCTATCAAGCCAGTGATGTCCTTGGTAATGCTACAACAGTCCCCGCCCAGAACATCTGGGGGAACCGGAGGTCCTTGAGCTCGACACAAGACCTTGGCCCTTAAAGAAATTATGGCACCACCTCATGTAATGCCTTTTGCTAAACAAACTTTCCTTTGTTTAGAAGGAGTCCTGGCGGCTATAAATTGAGCCACTCTGCTTAGCAGTTCAAATCCACCATGGGAGAAAGGTGAGGCTTTCTGCTCCCACAACTATTTACAGCTTGGAACCCCAGGGGGCAGTTCTATTCTGTTCCATAGGGTCACTAGGAGCTAGAATCCACTTGGTGGCAGTTGGTTTGGGCTCCCCCATTTTTTTATCCATGTCTTCCCCAGACACCAATTCTGAGAGAGTGGACATCAATTGAAGTCGCTTGGGCAGGGTGGTGTTCTGATCAGGGCCAGGGCTAGGTGGCAACTGGTAACCAGGCCACACTGAACAGCAAGGACTGTATGAAACCCAACATCAAATCTCAGCCTCCCATTTATAATTTTAATCATCCCCATCCAAAACACTTTTCCTACTGAAGAACTTGCGAGGTGATCCATCCTTTCTGCAGACACTTGTTGGAGGAGAGGTCATAGGACCACGTGGAAGAAACATTTCTCTTGGTTCTGAGAACGTTGTGTTCATGTTTCAGCATCATTAAGGAAAAAAAAAAAGCTAAACACGCTGACCTCCATAAAGTGCTTGTGGTACACTACCAAGAAAAAGGATACATTTCTTGCAATGTATCATAGAATATATGCAAGATAACATAAAATGTAGTGTATGTTTAATGGAACACTATTTTAGAAATTGTTTTATCTGTATAAATTGCTTGCTTTGTCATTAGTTGACAAATCACTGATTTCCATCCAAAGGAAATTTATTTTATTTTAAATCTAACCGAAGGTAATCCTTTTTCAGTTCTAATAACCAATATCGCATCTGATTTAAAGCTTCTTTTGCTTGCTTGATAATCTCATCCTTAAATGTATGTGTGTGTGTCTGTGTGTGTTTGGTGTGGGCCGGTGGAACAAAGTGAAAATTCTTGGCTCTAACTCCTCCATGTTCCTTTCCTTCTCATTCCACCCCCCAGATGCCTGGACCGAGTCCAGTCTGATGGAGAGGTGGGCGTGGCTCTGATGGCTCTTTTTGAACTTGATTGGCAGTTCAACCCATTCTCAGACAATGGGTGGGAGCTCTCTGACCCGGCCTTCACTCCAGCTGTTCCGCACACTCTTTATCTCAGGGCAAAAGCACAGGCTGGGTGCTATGCAATCACCTTCTTATTTATGACAGCGGAAAGAGCAGAGCTCACAGAAGGAGGGAGAGGAAGCCGTCTTCTCTTTTATCTTCGTTTTGTCAGTCTGAATTGCACCCAAGTCACGCACAGGGTGCTCATGCAGCCACCTATGCCCGGCCCGTTTTTTTCTACTGCATGCATGTTGACTGTGCGTGTATGAATGTATTTTGAATTTATATGGTTCGTTTTTTCCTTCCTTTTTTCCTTCACTCAACACTATGAATCTATTGAATGACCTTTTCCTAAAAATAAATGTGCACGGGCACTTCTGAAAGCCCGCTCAGGCAACAGTCCCTTGGTGGGCTCACAGGTTACATTTCCAGTGATTTTTAAATCTCCTGTGTTGTGAGCGGTCTTCTTCGCCTTACGTATTATGCAGAGTGATTTAAAAAAATTCTTCCCTGAAATGGACAACCTAAAGGGTTATGCCACTTTCTCATCTACCAGTCAATGCACAGTGAAGACTGTCTGACCCAGCCCCTGTCCTGGGTCACTGACCTGCCTGGTTTACCAAAATGAGCTCCCATAGCCTTTGTCTCCATGAGCTCAGAACACACAGCTCAGAGCAGGGGTATGGATGTCAGGACTCTGCTGAACTCAAGGCCACAGGGATGTCCCGTTTTCAGTTCTTCTGAGATAATAACGGGACATGGATGTCAATCCCCAAAGCACCAGCTCCCGCTGCCCCTCATGCCCTCCTTTTGTCTCACTGACTCCACATGCCACTCACATTTCAGGGTCCAGCCCTGTCCCAGGAGGCCATCGTTGGAATCCATTTCTCGTCTTTTCTGACCTCCATTATGTTTTGTTCGCACTCTTGTTTAGTGTGATTACTGATGTCGATCTCATTTTAAGTCACCTGGGTGTTCTGGTCAGATCTTCCTCCCTAGAACAGGAGGACCTGCAGGAGGGACCCCCCCTTAAACTGCAGAAGCTTATAAAATGCAGTATTTGATGAGGATCCACCAGGAATTTTTCCAGCACGAACTTTTCTCAAAAGATCTACTGCAAATGCTTTTGGTGACTCCGGCATAAGGAATGAAGGCACCCTAGGGCACAGTGGCTAAGCACTTGTCTGTTCACAGAAGGTTGGTGGTTCGAATCCACCAGTCGCTCTGTGAGAGAAATATGTGGTAGTCTGCTTCGGTAAAGGTTTAGTTTTGGAAACTCCAAGGGGTGTTTTTATTCTGTCTTATGAGGCTGGTATGGATTGAAGTGGATTCAACCACAGTGGGTTTCACATTGAATAATTTTGTACTAAATGAGTTTGCTAATGAGACCCCAAGTTCTTAAAGAATCACGTTGAAAATTCTGAGGCTCATTCATTTATGAAATAGGGCTGACACTACTCTGTAGATAAGAATTCTTCAGGCCCGTCTACTCATACTGCTGTGTTATAACCACAAAGCGCACCTGGTGATTTTGGAATCTGACTAACTCAAGGGCAAATACAGCTCAGCAATGGCCTCAAGGACATGTCTGAATTAAGATAGCACCTAGGAAAGATAATCTATAGAGATCCTGTAAGGGCTGGCATAGGGTGGTCATTATATATGGATAGTCCATGGAGCCTGAGGAATTCTCAGGCCATGTAAGAGTTGGGTCAGGATTCCTGTTTGACTTAGGGAATTTCAAACCCACTCTGGAGAAAACAGAATTCCCAGGGTATCCTTATAAACCAGCTTGATCTCCCTTGGGGATACCCTGGACCTATTTAAAATGTGTGCTCTTTGGATGGGGTCCCCATCAGAGGCTAAACCTGAAGGAAGTCAAAGTCCAAGGGCAAGTTCAAGCACCAGGTCCAAGGTCACTTAATCTGCCCGGATTTTTGTTGGGCTTCCTTACCTGATATAGGTTGGCAAGGTGGTGGTTCGTTTTGATCAAAAATGGCTGGTTCACTCCAGGGTGGTCAACGTCATGTGCTGCTGCTGCTAACAGTCCCAGCATGATGTCCAGGGGTGTGAGGAAGCTGGCAAGCTGTTAAACAGTCAGAAGGAGAGATTGGTTGGTGCGTTTCTATGAATAGGTTCACATTGGTTTAGGCTAGATCAAAGCAAATGAATCATCGTGGCCCACCAGCCAGCCAGCCAGCCTTTCACCCTTTGAGACATTCAATAGGGCGATAGTCACAGGGAATGATCAGAACAAGAAGAGACAATGTGGCCAGGACAGTCGATTCAAGTGGTATGGCTCATCCAAGCATCCTCCTCTCCCCACTGCTATTGTTTGTTTTGTTACTATCATGGCACTGCTTGCTGATAACACGACTGTATGGTCCACAGGGAGAAGGCTGAGTCTGAAATCAGTCTCTTGCTCCCAGAAAAAGTTGCAAAGAAAGGGAAAAGTTGATGCCAGCATGCTGAGCTCATTCATTCTGACTCACAGGACAGAGGAGATTTGCCCTATCGGGTTTGCAAGGCTGTGATTGGCACACAAGCAGACCACCACATCTCTCTTCCATGGAGTGCATTGAGCTTTTGTTAAAGATCCACCGACCTTTTGGTTAGCAGTTGTGTGCTTAACCACTAAGCCCCGAGGGCTCCTTCAGTGATGGCTACCTTTAAAACAATTCACTTTCATATTTCAAGGATTCAACAAATAATTTCCACTTCTGTAAGGAGATCGGAGTGGACTGAATTGCAAAACCTGCTTAGTTCTTTAATGTGTAATGAATACTTGGGGCGGGGGGATCTGTGAGAATCTGTGATTTTGGGGGTTGTTGTTGGCTAGGAAAACAGAAATCTCATACTAATTAAAAATATGACTGTGTGATATAATACAATGTTCTGATGACTTACAGATTTTTTTCACTTGATCAATGACTTTATTTTACTATTATTTTAAAAAATCATTTTATTGGGGGCTCATACAGTGCTTATCACAATCCATACATCCATCCATTGTGTGAAATTTTAAAGTGTCATTGGGATATTTTTATAGGGATGAAGCAGCTACCTTCAAAATCATGGTCACTGGTAGGATTAAATGTGAAAATAAATACACGCTCTGTCCTTAGGATGCTTGTCTGACACTTGTGTACCTAGAGGTTGATGTTAGATTGGAACATCTTGGATTGGAAGTTGTGTAATAAATTCCACTTTGAGTCAGCAGTTCAAACCCACCAGCTGCTTTGTGTGAACACACTGGTTCTTGAAGGCTTTTAAGATGTGAATTGCCACAGAAAAAGTTCTTTTTATCTTAATGCTGTCTTAAAAATATGAAAAAAGAAACCCTTAGAAGATTCCCATTCTCTCGTGAACATAATCAACGTTTTAGAGCTCATATGAAACTTTAATTGAAATAACTTGCATTCATCTGGTGAATGACCCAAAATAATGGTCCTCTGATGTGATGGGTGATTTGGGAGCCCAGCAAATAGGTTTTATCTTTGGCACTCCCAGGTGGCCCAGGAGGCAGTGGGGCCTTGCCTTACCTTCGGCTCCTTCAGGTAGCAGTGCATGGCCTGGGTGACGTCAGCTGCGTGAACGGCATTGTGATATGGGTTGTGGCTGTGGTAATCTTCTTGGACCATGACTAGGAGGGAAACAGATAACTCAATCAATTAAAGCAAAGCAAAACAAAACTGTGAAGAGCTTACTAATTCAGGCTTATTGAGGGTGTTTTTTTGTTAAAATAACAACAACACAGTTCTTCCCAATTATAAGGCCTTGGGACCCTTTAAAAAGAACTCCAAGCTTGGTGGTTCCACTGGGCTGTTTTTAGGGCTGAGGAGGGCTGAGCAGAAGGGAGACAGACGAGAGGATTTGTGAGGCCCGTGGGATTCCTCATCCCTTTCATAAATCACTCCTTCTGGCATTCATGAAGGCTTGCATTCAGAGGAAAAATAAATACGTAGAAAAAGGAGAACTTTATTTCACACCATAGGTTAATTATTTACGTTTGCTGCCATTTATGAATAATATGCCATAAATAAGGTTTCCTTTCAATGAGCCCCAGTTGCATCAGTCTACAGACATGCAAAGGCGGTTTAACAAATCCTGAGTTTGATTAGCTTTGGATGAACACATTCTGATTGAATTAAATCTGGGGCTTCTCCAGGCAGGAATTCAAAGCACTGAGTTGCTGGAGAGTTTTTGGATTATTTCTCCCAGATTCGGTGAAGCTACCATCTTTTTGTATTTTTAATATATTGCAAGGCAAGGAAAGAATGCTCTTGGAACCCAGTGGAGACATAGTAAGGCCGCTGGGTTTGCTCCTTACAGAAGCCACTAGTGTAAGGGCCGAGGTGGTGATGGAGTCAGTGTGTTTAGAATGCCAAGTATGTTCAGATCTACAATTGGTACCATAATAGCTCAGCTCAGGCTATGGAGTTGGCTCTGGATTCTGATACTAACTTTGTTGGCCAAATAATTGTTGGGTGGATACCCAAATTATTTGTGTTCTCCCTCTTTGCCAGTTGCTGTTGGGCTGACCTGACTTATGGCACCCCTGATTCAAGGTGACCCCTCGAGAGTCAGAGCAGGACTGTGTTCCATAGGATTTCCAATGGCTGATATTTCTGGAGTAGATCACCTTCCTTCCAAAGTGCCCGGGGATGGCCTCAAACCCCTAATGTATTGGTTAACAGCCTAGTGAAGTAGTAATCATTTGAAAATTCCCCTCTCTCTTTTGACAAATCAGAACTAGTTCCATTTGTGACTATCATTCTGTTCAAGCTACATAAATTAGCCTAAGGCTGCTCGTGTCTCTGGAAACAGGTGTACCGTAAGCGATTTCTGTGCTTTTGGTTTGATTCCCCCCTCTGTTGTTTTACTCACCAGGTTTCTTTTGTAGTTATTTTTTAATCCTGGTTTTATCACTTATCTTTGTTGGGCACACCCTATTAGATGGGGATAATAATAGTTTCAAAATCATGATCGATGGAAGGATTAAATGTGAAAGTACATGTAAATCCTTCGAGGAGCTCCAGTATCTGTAAGCACCCTGCAAGCCTGCTCTCTTCATCGCTGTTATTGTCCTCGGGATGGAGTTAAGTGAAATTACAAATTCAAAGCACAGCCATGTGGCAAGCAGAAGCCAAAAAATAGGCTAAGTGGCAGAGAGAAGCCATTTGGTCCTTAAAAATGTGCCCCGAACCATTCCCTGTATATGAATAAGAATCAAATCGGAATCAGTGCTGTCATTTGATAAAGAGCTGTAAGAGCCCCAATAAAATGATCTTTTTTTTAGAAAACCGAGAGAGAGCATATAACAAGACCCATATTAACAAA